GTTTCTTATTTTTTAATTCATTGTTGGTGAGCATCAGTAACTCGATTCGATAAAATGCGATGAAAACAAAGTATTTTTATTCTACTATTTAGCAAATGCTGGCCCACAGTGGATGTATGACTAAAAATGAAACTATACCTTGTTAGATATAAACAGGCGAATTTAAAAATAGTGTAGTTAATTTTCTTATGACGGCGAAACCCGCGTCGAAATTAGTGTTGTAGTTCTGGAGTGTGTTTGTTTTTAAAATTATCAGAAAAGTTTTTTAAACTTCGAATTTCAAAAAATGCTGTTTTGGGATTTGCTCGAACTTTTCAAAGTTCAATATGAAATAAAAGGTCAGTAAGTTATTCGGCTAACTGAAATTTCATCAACGGATAACGAATAGTACTGGATCAATATTATTAATTTTAGATGAACATATTTTCCAAAGTCTCAGTGCAACAAATCTTTGTCACTTGAGCCTTATGAATTATACTGGATTGATATCATTTATAAAGTTTAGATAAACATCCTTTTTCACATTCTCAGTATAACAAATCCTTGTCACTTGAGTCGTATAAATTCAACTTTGATTTATTAGAACTCTTAAATCTTCATTCGTGTTTATATTTGAATCATGAGTAGTTAACATACATTGCTATAAAGTAAATAAGAAAAAATATATTAAACGGTTCAATTAACATCACCTATCTCATCAGTATTTACAATATTCATGAAAAAACTAATGAAATTGAGCGATACGGAGTTTGATAGAAAACATCTGAAAATCTTACACTCCCTTTTTGTCTGAATCAGTATATGGTTTTGAAGATTTTTTTCGTTTTCTCCAAACTGTAGTTACGGTATATTATTGTTTGTTATAATTTTCAATAGCCCATTTATTAAGGAGGTCAGGCTATGCCTCTTGTATGTTGCAAGGCCTATGATGGAGGTTAAGGGGTATCTGGACTTCATCAGGTTGCCAAGGGAGCCTCAGGGATACCAGGCGACCTCCAAGAGCTTCGCTTTGAATCAATACGGAGTCCTATGTATTTGAGCAACTCCCCATTTAAGAACTCTAGGACTACAGCATGGACTTTGCAACGATCCAATTAACTATCCTTTACCTTAGTGGAACTATAACTTTATGGCAGCCATCTTTTTTTTAACATTTTGAATTGTATTCCAGAATGTAATCGTCAATTCTTCCAGGTTTGGAGACCAGCTCCCCTACCCTTTTGGCTGATTGTTGGTCTTGAGAAGGACCAATGGGTTGAATTGTATTCCGTTTTAACTTTTCAATTTTATATCTAATACATGGGATGCATAAAAGAACATAGTCTTCCATCTTTGGGAGTCTACCATATTGAATTTAGAATGACGTCATTTCATATTACTTATTCCTTTCAACAAACCATAGGCATTTTCTGGCGCTCATATATTCGAAACGTATTGATCTGTGATTCAAATACATTCGTTATGGCGTTGAAACGATGACGTCACATTAACTATGAATGGGCCTTTTTCCTGAGAATAGTACAGCAAACGTGTCACGAGAGGCAGCACTAGTAGTAGGGACAAACAATAAACTATTCACATGTGAAACAGTTATTTACGTAATATTAATTTATTATTTAAAAATAAAAATCTGATATAAAAAATTATTTTGTGCTAGTATAATGCCAACAAAGCATTGCTGTTTTGCAAATTGTACGTCGGATAATCGATATCCGGAAGAAAACGTGTTTTTTATACCATTTATGAAACCTCATAATGATGAGGTTAGATGTTCGAAATGGATACATGCTTCGAGGAAAGTGGATTTAACAGTCCAAAAAATAAATAAATATTCATATGTATGCTCTAAACATGAAATGAATAGTACATTTTTCATAGTTAATTACCATTGATTACAATCGTTTATTCGATTATATTCATTATATTTCATTGAATTTATTTCATTACCATCTATATTTGAATCATATTTCATTCGGAAATAAGTCTGAAATTCATAATTATTTTAAATTTCTTTTATTACAGTTTGAATCTACCGCAACTCGTTTACTAGAGTCTGTATACTAACCTGTCTATTAATCCCCTTTTTTCAGTTACTTTTAAATTACAGCATGCAAGCCAACGTTTTAATGTTACAACATTGTTATCCTTTACAGTTGCAAATTTTAGTTTTGCTCCAGGAACACTTTCTTCTGTTAAAAACATTCTTATTTAATTGTACTTTACCATATGTTTATATGAGGATTAGGCAGTGTTTGTCCCTACCGAAGTACTAGCGCTGCTAATGAGTGATTTTTCGTACTTCACGAAAAAGGTTCATTGAAACGTATTCATGATGATTCAAAACCATTAAAACTAGCGAAATGTGGGTTTTGAATTTTGAACACCGACATATAGGGTTATGTGGATGGTTTTGAAACGGAATTTGACGTTATGTTACGTCAGTTGTCAATTTCTACTATTTTGATCGTTAAAGTTCGTAAAGTACTGAAAACTTTTCATAAAATACATTATAAGAGCGGTAGAATGTTGATTTTTACTGTGTAGTAGGGATGTACAAAATAAAGCTGTGAAATGATTACTTGCACACATCCGATTCTAACTGAGGTTGGAGAAAATTTAAAAATTTTGTTTTTATTGTCGATTTTGACATCTGACACTAATTGAATCATTTCCTTTTGGCGAATCTTATTATTAATGACGTCACTACGAATCGTTTTTGAATATACGCTTGATGTTCCTCAGGGCTCCATATTAGGACCAGTTCTCTTTCTTATATATATTAATGATCCACCACATTTCTTGAATTCATCAGATATTAAGACTACCATTTATGCGGATGATGCAACCTTGAGCAGAGCAGTGGACGAACTTAAAACTCCTCAACATACCCTAAATAATATCCTGGACAAAGCACGATCTTGGTTTGGATCGAATGAACTAATTTTAAGCTAAACAATACTCTGCCACTAGACTTTCGCAATTTGTCATTCAATAGATTTAAGTACTTTCTGAAGTTTTTCTTAACTGAAAATCCTCTGTATGATATCAATGAAGTGTCCAATTGAATAGAGATGTCTTTAATGTGGACACCTAAATAATAGGTGTGTTCCCAGTTGACTAATATGTATGTGTGTTGTAATTTAAATCAAATGTTTGTACTGAACTTCTTAACGATCTTGATATTCTTGATGATCTCAATATAAGTTTTTCAACCTTATGATTACCATCTAATTCTCAAATTCAATCAAGCAATGTAATTTGTTTTAATGAGTATGTTGATTTGTTTTAATGATTATGTCTTCGAATTTTTTTTCTCAATTCATGACCACCATTGATTGTGAAATCTTAAGATGTGTATAGCCTGATTTTAATTGCGCCATTTGTTTTGACATGTCTATAAACCTTGTGTTTCTCAAAACAAATAAAGATATTATTATTATTATTATGGCGGACGCAGCAACAGCCGGTGGTCGTAGCGGTTTCCGTGGTGGATTCGGTAGTGGCGGTAGAGGAGGTGGTCTTGGGGGCCCCAGAGGTCGTGGCCATGGACGCGGTAGAGGCCGTGGTCGCGAAAAGGAAGACCAGAAGCAATGGGTGCCTGTAACTAAGCTAGGACGGTTGGTAAAAGATGCTAAGATTCGCTTTTTGGAGGAGCGAATCTTAGCATCGAGTATCTTAGCAAACGAGTATGTTGACCAGCACAGACTCGTGCTGGTCAACATACTCGTTTCAAGGCTTTCATTGCTATCGGTGATTGCAAAGGCCACATCAGTTTGGGAGTGAAGTGCAGCAAAGAAGTTGCTACTGCTCTCCGTGGAGCCATCATCTTAACTCAGCTTTCTATCGTACCAGTCCGTAGAGGTTACTGAGGTAACAAAATTGGTCAACCCCACACAGTGCCTTGCAAAGTCACAGGGAAATGCGGGTCTGTAACTGTACGTCTCATCCCAGCTCCTTGTGGTACTGGTATCGTTTCTGCCCCTGTTCCCAAGAAACTAGAAGAAAAGACTGCTATACATCAGCCAAGGGCTCTGCTGGTACACTGGGTAATTTCGCCAAGGCAACTTATGCAGCAATTTGCAAGACTTATGCATACTTAATGCCAGATTTGTGGAAGGAGATGCCTCTTACCAAGACACCCTACCAGGAGTTTGTGGATTACCTTTACAAAAATCACCACAATGGATCTGCCGCAGCACATACTGAAACCGTTTAGATCGTGTTTAAAATAACTCCTCTACACGTTATTGTGAAGAGTATATTTTGAACCTTTCTTCCATTGGAGGTTTTCCACAATTATTTGTTTAAAGATGGAGAAATTTAAGCCGTCAGATTATTTCGTATATATTTAATTTTCAAGATCATCACTTAGGAATGCGGTGGTAACATCAACATGGACTATTTTCAAATTAGTTTCTGCTGCTAAACCTATTAAAAATCTAATTGTGGAGTTCCTCACCCCGCGAGAAAAAGTTTCATTGTAATCAACTCTGTAGACTTTGGTATATCACTTTCCTCAACCTGGCTTTATGTCGGCTAATATTGTTATTGGAATTTCGATTGATTTTGAATATCCATTTATTTTCAAATATTTTACAATTAGAGAGTTTGTCGGCTAGTGTCCATATATTATTTTCTGTTAAAGATTCCATCTCTGGTTCCATCACAAAAAACCACAAGTGTTTCTAGCCAAAATTTAATTGAACACTGGCCTGAAGTTTTCCCCACAGTCCTTCGCTTTTTTTTATTCAACTTGAAATAAATAACAATTCTTTACGTTTTCAGATTTGCCTGTGATAAGAAAACCTGAAAGTGAAAATGAATTTGTACATTGTCGAGTAACTTTGATATTGTGGGTGATAAATCACTTGCATCAAACTAGAAAAACACACGATTCCATTGGAGGTAAACTTGACCTTGATATTTAGAATTTACGCACATATAAAAGTTACGAAATCACTGAATTTAAGTAGGAAAATCAGAATTGAGTGGCAACTCTGCTAGTGCATTGGGCGCCATCTAGTGGGAGTGGGAACGAATTATGCGAATGGAAATATATTAAATTTTGTTACTTTTCTGTTAAAATTGCTGAATATGCTGAAACCATACAACAAATGATGAAACAAAGACAGAAGTGAGTACTATTAATCCACATAATTGAATGTGTACAAGCAAAGTCGGAATTTTTCAGGAACAAAATATATGATGGGTCCTATAAGTATCTCTACAAAGAAAAAGAAAGTGGCAGTGATAGTGGTGATGAAATAGAATTATACCTTAGCACCAAGCCTCAAAAAATTGACACACCAACTATAGAAAAAGTTGTTGAAGAAGGTGATACTTTGCAAGCACTAGCAATACGTTATCATTGTAATGTAAGATTTGTTTGTATATTTGAAATGACTACTCCATATGTTCCTGTTTTCAGATTGGCGATTTAAAACGAATTAATTCGATTCAAAATGACAATGAAATTTTTGCAAAACGAATCATCAAAGTGCCTTATAGACCTTTTACAATGGCCCTTGCTGGGGTACATGTCAGTGGAAGAAGCTCTCCAGATGCTGTACAGCCTTCTACTTCGAAACTTGTGGATATAGACTCTGTAAATACAAAATTAAACCAGGAAATTTCTGAAGTGAATGAAATTATTTTTAATAGTCAGATTACACATAAAATCGTAGAGAGGCATGTAGAAGATGTATGTGAAGAAGATTGTGATGATCAAGTGAATTTGTTACCTCAAAATGAGAGAACTTTACCTGAAAATGATGTATGGCTTGAAATAAGTCTCATGTCTCAATGTTATTCTCAACCCTTGTTTTTGCAGGTGTTCTCCAAGTTGAACTGTAATGGGGCAGATGCTGGTATATCCTGGAAAATACTCATAATTTGCATAGTGATTGTAGTTCTTGCACTACCTCTAATATATGTTTTTTACATCGCTGAGCATCCAGATGAATATCACCACCACAGCTCATGATAAAATGGACATTTTTATCATTCCGTTAGAAGTACTGATTGATTCTTAACTAAAAAATATTAGATTAACCATGTGCCTGATGACAAAAACCTCAACACCATCATGTGAATGAATCTAATTACTTCTAAAAAAGTCAAAACTTTCTATGTATCCATAGAGTAAATGATTGTGATAGAAAGATTTGTTGAAATAAAAATAACAGAAAGAATTGTAGAATGCAATAGAAATGAACCACTGAATAATAATGAGGAGTTAGTGTCTTCAAAAATTGAGGCCAAAGTTGTTTTTGTGAATATTCCTCATATCTCAGGGATATCTGAACAGTATGTACTTCATACCCCCAACGTTTTATTTCAACTTGAGTCGATATCTCGATTTGGTTCTCAACTTTTCTCTTGAGATTGTGGATTTTGAATTCAAAAATAGAAAGTGGCTAGCCTAAAGCTTCAAAACTTTTGGTGAATATTCGCTATGATCATCATATTTGAATTTAGATAGAACTACAAAAAATGTGATAAAACCACTTTAATATTTCCTGATTTGTTTATGGTTTCCAACCTCAATCAATCTGAAAAATGAATAAATATAGACCTACAGATAATCTGTTCAAGTTTAAAGGCAAACTGAAAAAGTTCATCCCTGAAAGTTACTGTGTGATATAAACCTTTTAAAGAGTCCAAATAATCTATAGCTTATTAACAAACTTACTGATCAAAAACATAAAATTTTCCTGAATACACCCCTTTTGAGAATGTATGTATTTTTTTGGCAAATTTTTGAGCAAAATATCAAGATGACAAATTTGACTGTCTACAAAAACATACACACACAGGATGTTTGCAAAGGAATCAGTTCAGGATAATATTATCTCTCGTCTTGGCAATGGTAAGCAGGTACGACATGTTTCCGAAGAGTTACTTAAAACACACTTGTTAACTGCCAAAAGTACATTAGTGGATCCTTTTGCTTTTCTTTATTTTTCGAGTTTGGTGATTATTGCTTCTACCCTATTCTCGATCCTGTCTATTTGTTTATTTTTTCTTACATTTAGGAGGTCTTATATTTTCATCTGTGTAACATTTTACACAGGAACAATGTATTTTATAAATATATTTTTCTCATTTCATCCTTATTCTCGGGTTTTGTTACTTTAAGAAGATATCTCAATGTATTGGTAGTTCTAAAAGTTGTTCTAACATCATATCTGTAAACGATTCGACTAAATTCGCATAAACGGATTGATCTTCAGCTGGTACTGCACATGAAGACACCTTGTCGACAAAAACATCTTCCAACTCCATTCGGGCTATGGCTATTCCAAGACTATCAACCCTTGACGGTCCATAACCGAAGAACTTCGGAACTGGGAAACTGCGTTTCCCAGATTGACTGAAGATTAACACTGTACATTGTTGATTTTTACTGTAGGAATTTTCTCATTTGTTCCCATTTTTCAGCAGTCCTTAATGAATCTATGAATGGTAATCCAAACTTTGTTTTTAAAATAGCCTATGTTCACATTCCCAAATTAAAGTTATTAAACCAATTTGCTGCCGGACCTCTCAGATTTGACTGTGCAAATGTCAGTTTGGTTCTTTCATTCCAACCCTGTAAATTAGTACTAGTTGTGTAACTGCAATGAGTTCAACCAATCTAATGGCATACTACCATGAAAAATCCACAATATTTGCAGTATATAATAGGTAAACATACTTTCATTATATTCGAAATTTTCGCAACTGAGTAGTCATTTAATTATTCATCTGTTGCGTTACCAAACTAAGATCTCCGAAAAATTGCCCATTCTTCCTAATAATTACGAAAAATTTGGTGAAATAGGGATTTTATCATTATCTATAAAATCGCGAAATTTATATGTTATTCCTATTTATTTTTATTCAAATCAAACTGACAGAACGTTTACCCAATACTGTTCTTTCCCTAATCACCCCTACCATTATCTAAAGATTTAGATCTATAGACAATGCCCCTACCACAGAAGAACTGACACTACCCTGTTTTGGCAGTTTGAAATATGACAGTTGACAATTTTGATGTATGAGGTTGTTGTGTACGTCAACATTGTATTTTATACTTGTAAAAAACAAACCGATAAATATTCATGATCTCTTCATCAAAATGTGACACTATCCTAAAACGCTAATTTCCCATGAAGGATGTTAACTGTTTGTGGTTTTTAAAATGTTTACAAAGAAAAATCTTGTTGACATTAAAAAATCAACATCCAAACTTCAAGACACCAAAAAAGATGTTTCTACAAGAATCAAACATCTGAAAATAATACTAGGTGGGTTTTGGGCTTAACAAACACTTGCGTGAATTAAATAATTGTCTCCAAATTATTTCCAGAAAATGTGGATATCTCTGAGGCAAAAGGATTTTTTGAAGCAAATTTCAGTCACATATATAATGTTTTATATGAGAGTTTTGTACAAACTGAAGGAAATTTGCGCCAAAGAGGTAGGATACTAGGAATAAATAAGAAATAAAAGCCAGGCATTGAATCTTCATGAATAAATTTATTTTCAACTGATTTACTAATCATGTACCAAACGACCAAGTCAGGTCATACCATTTTCCAATTTTCTATCAGCAGAATGTTAAGTGGTGATATATATCATCATTTTCAGTATTCAGAAAGTTATCCATTCCTAAAGTTCTGGTATATTTTTCATCTCAACTACTGTATACAATTTTTTCCTTTTAGGTACAGTTTTGGTGTATAAGGACAAGTCCGCATGGGTGACTTCGCGGCTACTGTTTCGTAACTTTTATCAAGTCTATAGACTGGGTAACTTTTGTAGTGACCCACGAACATACCAGTGACTGAACAGTCACCGTGCTACTGAGTTTCTTTAGACAGGCGTGCACATATGACAATTTACTCACTATACATTATTCAAATCTGTTATTTACTTTCCTCAATTACTGCCAAATCTTTCTTCAGCTGAAATGACCTCATGTTGAAATTTTTGTATGATAATTCTGGTTAATAACACATTAGTGACTGAAACTAAATACATTAACCATTTGGTTGATGAGTTATTATGAATAGATGAAATTTGGTTAAAAGACGAGACAATAAAACATAATATTGAAGGCATTTCATAGCTAAGCCAGAATGTCAACATAATACTCTTGAAGTGTAGACGAGTCCTTTCCACAAGTGAACTTTTCACTGTCTTTTGAAATAAATGTTAGATTGTAATATTTTTGAAGAGACCAGGTAATTAGTTATAAATATTATTGCTTTCAGATATAACAGAATTTATTGTTAAACTACAAGACAAGTTTGAGCATATATAGTCAATTATTGTGGTTGAAGCTGACACTATCCGAGAGGGTTCTGATGCCAGCATTGTTATATTAGTGGCAACAAAGAATATACAGTGTGTCCAAGATAGGAGGGTCATCATGGGAAAATTGTAAACTCTAAGAGATATACATATTTAATAATCATGGTGATAGATCAGGTGAAGTTGTTGCCAAAAAAAAATGGCTAACTTATAACAGGTGATTCTTTTTCTCGGTCCATATAAAAAAGAAAAATAGGCTATGGTTTCTTGAAGATGAATTGTCGGATTACAAATTTGTTAATGTCATCTTATACAGTTTATAAAGTGTTATAAAGTGTCGACGACAATTTTTTTCAATATCTCCTTGAATAACGTCAGAAAAAAATTTAAACAAAATTGGAAAATTTCAGTTTTTTTCAAATATTTCTGGAACCAATCGAAATTTTCTGAATTTCAAAATGTTATTTAAATAAGCTGTAAAATGGACGTCTTTTCCATAGTTTAGCTCAATTTGTTTCACAGGTTTCCAATTTCCTCATGCTAACCCTGCTTATCTTGGACAGTCAGTATAGATTCTTCCTCCTAGGAGATTATTAAATCAATTATCATGATTAAAAGTGAAACTATCAGAAAAAATGTTCTAATAAAAATTATAGTTCCATTATTTAACGTTTTTCTACAATATTTGGATGCTATTGTATAGTTAGGAGTACTGCATTAACAAAATGAATTCAGTTAGTGTTAGTACTTGATCTTCAGTGAATACAAGAATATCTTTTTTTTATCACTTTCATTCAAAAATGTTCAAGAAGATAATGACCGATTCCTCTGAATCGATGTTGACAGATGATGCCTCAATAAAAAAAAAGCTAAAGTTACCTTCCGTGAGTGCACTTCACTTTTGTGAGGTGTGCCAGTAACGAAAAATTTTGGAGCCGCTACAAAAGTCACCCATGCACGCTGTCCATAATTATTCATGAATGATTTTAAAGAATAAACTCCCATGTGAGAAAATTCTATAACAAAGTGTATAGTCTATACAAAGTCAATCCGAACAGCTGAATAAAAGACTTATGTACCGGGTTTGTTGAATTTACTGGTTGATACCATATAAAAATAATGATTAGAGCTCATTATACCACCCCGCCCATGCCATACAAAGAAACTGCCGACGTTCTGTAACTATGTAGTTTTTATGTCATTTGAATTGACTTCGTATATACTATACCATCATTAAAATATCGGGTGTCAACAAAAATCTGGTAGAGAAGTTGTAACTGCTAGCGAGTCAGGTATATCAAAATAAGATTTGGTATGGGTAAATAATTTGTTTTGAGTGTTCAAATTGAACACATTATATAATTTCAACCATTTTGGATCCTGTGACAATAGGGCCGTTCAGTCAAACATGTTATAAAGCGGAGTATTTAATGTGTAAGGCTTTGAATGTTCAATACGAATGTTCAGTATCCACCAGAGTCCTCAAATCCTCATCCTGGATCATAGAGAAAAATTGGCTGAAAATCTCTTAACGGCATCATTTAGTAATGAGCTGAAAAGAAGCAAAAATTAAAAATTTGGAAAAAAATTAACAGCATCAATGCTGATCGAATATATTACGACACAGTAGAATAAATATTCAAATTCTTTATTGACCAGTTGGGTACAAAATTGTACATATGGCCAGTCATAATTTTACAGTAAACAATACACCAACAATATATCATATACATCATATTTTTTACAGTTAATATTGAAATAATTATGTATCAGACATACATGTATCAAACCCACAATATAGAGACATTTAACAGTTACAATCATTCAGGAATTCTTCGCAACTGTAGTAACATTTGTCTAGTAAGAGATTTTTAATGCTCCTATAGAATAACTTGTCTGTTTTAATTTGTGTAATAGCTGACGGCAGCGCATTGTAAAGGCCGACTGCATTATATAGTGGTGATTCTTTCAATTTGGAGGTTTTGTGTCTAGACACCTTTGATAAATTTCCATAATGCGTTGGATATTAATGACATGATGAGGTTTTTTCAAGCAGTGATTCGTTTTTTCTGGCATAGTTCACACTTTTATATATGTATATGCAGGGAGCTGACAGAGATATGGAGCCACATGAACCTAAGACATCAAAACTGACAAGATTTTTGACACAATCTATAGATTCAAGCATTTAGTTTATAAGTTACTAAGTTTTCGAGTTTTACTTGTAAATAAATAAATAAAAGTATAAGTTTGGAGTGTGAATCAGCCAATACTCTCTTCTCATAAAGCTGGTCACTGTCATTATCTAAGTGAGTGTTTTGTTTTCTAAATGAGACTTAAAATAATTGCATGGATATCCATAGCACACTTGAAAAAAAATTAATTATTATCCACTATTTTCGTTATAAATAGGAAATACACCAAAACTCTCTTCTTCATACATTCAATTAAAACAAATCTCATTTTGATAACCTATTCTAGATGTTATGACTGGTCCAATAGATTCCTGGACTCCCGGTATATTTTAAATTATATACTTGTGATGCACTGTTTGGAACCTTTGGTGTAGTAATGAATATTACTGGAGTTGTTTCTCAACACCGAACCGTCATTTTAACAACTCGACACTTGTTTCGATCACCAAGTGATCATCTTCAAGAGGAATATTGAACAATTTAATCTTCCTCTTGAAGATGATCACTTGGTGATCGAAACACTTGTCAAGGTGTTGAAATGACGGTTTGGTGTGGTGTGGTATGGTTTAAAATCAATGTTGCTAAATTATTTTATTGGAAACTCCATTGTGATACTTTGATATTATTAAGTTATCTGTTTCAATTTTCTTGAGTGTAGGATGAACAGACAATTACAATTGAATAGTCGGTGTTCAAACCTCATCTTTGAATGAGTTCAACATATTATTCTTTATAAGATTTTTTTTGAAGAACCCAATATTTTTTACTGGTTTTTTGGGTTTNTTTCCCAAACAAACCAAACCATTGTTGGACTACAGCAGGGATGAATTACGATATCTAACAGGCCTTCTCTCAGGTCACTGTCGTCTGAATCATCATATGTAGAGACTTGGACTGTCGGAAGGCAGCATCTGACCTGAACAACTACCCACCATATAAACTTATCGGCTTCGTTAATAGGTGGGAGCCACAATAAACTCTTGCGGGTCGCATAGACCCACTCACTTTTGACCTACTCATAGGGAAGTTTATGGGAAAAGTATTTTGATAGATGATTGGACGAGTGTAATTTTGAGTTTGAAGTTCCGTAAATCAAATTTATTTATATTGTGAAGAGAAAACTATCTTAAATTTCATATTTTTGTAAAAATAACATTGAACTTTTGTAATCTGTATCATCATTGGAATTACTTTGCTAATGAAAAAAAAGATATGTTATCAAAAGAAAAGCGTTTAAAAAAATCGTTTAAAATTAAATATATATTGATAAGGTCTAGTCGGAATTCTTTTAGCCTGAACATACGATAATGATAGTCATATCTTACCTTGTGAAGCCTTTCAGCTACACTCAGGAAAATGTTGACATGGAGTCTCGGAGAGTATTATTATTACAATCATCTCATAATCCCATTGCTTCTTTTTCTTTTTCATATGTAAATATTTCACAACTAATAACTTTATATTTTTCTGTGGTGTTAGAGCTGTCTTTTCATCTTGGTAAGTTAACATAATTTTATTTCTAACAAAAATCCCATGTATATTTTCTGATTTCTCACCACACAGTACACAAGGCACACAAAGAGGAGTTGGAATGTACCCTGTGGATTTTGGAGCAAGTGCTCTGCCTACTTCCGGAGCTAATTCATCGAAGGTGGCAGTTACATTCTCTCGGTAGACTTCTTTCAAAACTTCTCCATCCTGGAAATACCACCAAGCTACGTCGACATGGCATCAGGTATTTCTTAATGTGGTATCAAGCCTTGAATGAGAATGCACCTGAGTACGTTCATCAGATGTTCACCACGTTGGTACCTGGTTTCTACAGCCCAAACTTAGTTAGCTGCAATAACAGCACAAGCGTATTTCATGATACTAGTGCTCAGCATCCTGTGACACCCACTGAGTTGTTGCCCATTTTGCCAATATCGAGTAGTGACAAATCCTGTGATCAACCAAGCAAGTTTTATTTGGAGTGTCTGTTGGAATACATGGTACACACAGTTGTCAAGCTGGAATGGCAGGACAAAAGTGCCTACCACCACAGGTGTTTCAACTTTCTGTTGGAGAAGTTCAAGATTTATTATTTACCCAAGATTTGTCCAGATTTCTGCAGCCAGACGTCTCTGTACAGACCAAATTTGGGTAAGTTGTCTCTTTAATGTATAACGTAAAATTTTAAACTGTAATGTATGGAGATAATCATTTCTCAGTTCAAAATCAAATTCTCACATTCTGAATTTTTCATAATAGTCAGGCACTGTGACCGTTACCACATCGCCTTTGATAATGTCTACCGCAGTGGTAGACGAAATATCGGGCACAAAAACCTGCAGGCCAAGGCCAAAAAACCCGAAAAATTGCTTTCACACAGTGATCTCCGACCGGGTTTGGTTTCTACTCTTTGATTAATCAATTTCGTTAAGATATCTTCCAACAAGTCTTTCTTTGGCTTATATTCCAACCGAATATCTTTTATGCAACACCTTACTCAATGGCTTTCCTCCTTCGTTTGGAAGTTTCATATAATTTTTTGTATAAAAATAGAGAAGAGAAAGCCAAAAAGCTTGTTTCTCAAAAACGAATCTCTCCTACGAAATACCCTTTTAATTCAAACAAGATTCCTATGTTCGACAACAGTGTTGGAGGAAGTATTAAACAATGATCAGAAGAGGGAAATCAACCTCTGATGCAATCAACTCTCTCACAAATTACATAAAAGATGCATTTGACAATAAAGATAAATATATTGGTGTATTTACTGATCTCACTTCGGCGTTTGATTGTGTGAATCATAAAATCCTCTTAGACAAATTATACTGGTATGGTATTAGAGGGGTGTGCCTAAAGATGATAGAATCATACTTGACTGAGAGATTTCAAGTGGTAGAATGCG